CCTCATTATTCTTAGATTCCATATTTCCAAATTCACCTACTCACTAAAATTTATTTGTAACCCCTAAATTTATACTCACTTTGCTTTTGCAATCATTGGTGCACATACAGAGAGGTGATAAATTTGAGTAGCTTGATGTTTCCAGCTGAGGTTGATTGAGGCAAAGCTCTGCCTTCTTGTTTCATCTCTTATGTTATAAACAAGTATCTTCTTTGCAGCCAGTTTAGTGCCATGTGTAATTTCACTGTTTAAAATGACCCCAAGCATAGTGCTAAAGTGCTGGCTGGTATTCCCAAGCTAAAGAAGGCTGTGATACGTCTTACAGAGAAAATGTATTGGATAAACTTTAGTCAGGCCTGAGTTATAGTGCTCTTGGTCTTAAATTTGGTGTAAACGAATCAAGAGTAAGATTAAATTAGATGTCTTCAAACAGAAACACACATAAAACAAGGTCATACATTGATCAGTTGATGAAAGTGTTGTCACCAGAGGCTGTTAGAAACATAACCTTGCATTTCCCTAAGAGCAGCAGTTCAATACTCAAAGCAACTTTATGAAATCTAACTACTGCAAATAATGAGAATCAACTGTTTGTGTGTATATATATGAAAAGACAGTTGACCAGTGCAGTGGCTCACGCCTGTAATCCCAGCACTTTGGGAGGCCGAGACAGGCAGATCACTTGAGGTCAGGAGTTCGAGACCAGTTTGACCAACATGGTGAAACCCTGTCTCTATTAAAAATATAAAATTAGCCAGGCGTGGTGGCACATGTCTGTAATCCCAGCTACTTCGGAGACGGAGGCAAGAGAATCGCTTGAACCTGGGAGGCAGAGGTTGCATTGAGCCGAGATCGTGCCGCTGCACTCCAGCCTGGGCAACAGAGTGAGACTCCATCTCAAAAAAAAAAAAAAAGAGAATTAATGGATACAGCAGGCAGGATTCTGGAAGAAGCAGGACTGGATTTTATCAGGAGCACTGTGGAGGGATTAGCTTTTAAACAAAAGGAAGCCCTTCTCCTGAGACTGCCACTACTGATGATTCCTTTCTTCAGATTCCATCCTCTTCTGACTTTCTTCATTCTACTTTTATCTTAGTAGGTACTTTTACTTGGAACTCTGCCTTTACCCTAATTTCTTCTTTTAACAAAAATTTTTGTACCCCCTGGTTAAATCCTGTGCATTATATACTTTCTAAGAAACTTTATCTTCATGGCATTAATAGTCATCTCTTTATAGACAATTTTATGATTTGTTTTTAATCCTTACCTCAGAAAAATATTATACTACAATTGAGTGCCTACTCCATGCCACCCATTTTAACTATATTATCTTTCATTCTTGAAAATTATCCTACAAGGTAATTATTGTTTGTTCTATTTTTTGGATAAGGAAAGTTGAGGGCCCAAGAAATTGAGACTAGTCCAACCTCATAAGTAGCAGAGAAAGGTTGTTTGTTTGTTTGTTTGTTTTCTGCGTCACAGAGTCATAGAGTGCAGTGGCACAATCTCAGCTCAATGCAACCTGCACCTCCCGAGCCCAAGTGATTCTCATGCCTCAGACTCCTGAGTAACTGGGATTACAGGCACACGCCACCACGCCCAGCTACTTTTTGTGTTTTTAGGAAAGATGGGGTTTCGCCACATTGGCCAGGCTGGTCTCAAACTCCTGACTTCAGGTAATCCGCCCACCTCAGCCTCCCAAAGTGCTGGAATTACAGGCGTGAGCCACCATGCCTGGCTTAGAGTAAGGATTTTTGAACCAAGATCTCCTTACAAAGACCTTGCTCTTTCCTCTATACCAGAGATTGGCAATCTATGGTCCTCAGACCAAACCTGGCCTACTGCCTGTTTGTATAAAGTCTTATTAGACCACAGCTACTGTGGTTTGAATGTTTGTGTCCTTGAAAAATGTGTATGTTGAAATCCTAACCCCCAAGATGATGGTATTAGGAGGTAGGGCCTTTGGGAATCAGAGCCTTCATGATTGGGATTAGTGCCCTTATACAAGACACCCCAGAGAACTAGCTCACCCCTTCCTCCGTGTGATGACATAGTGAGAAGGCACCATCTGTGAAGCAGAAAGTGGGCCCTCACCAGACACCAAATCTGCTGGCACCTTAATCCCAGCTTTCATAACTATGAGATAAATCATATAGTATCACTTGTGGCACATTCTGTTGGTTACAAGCCCATCCAGATTCAGGGAATGAACATAGATTTCCAACTCTCAATGGGAGGAGTGTCAGATTTTACAACCATTTTTTGAAAACTGCCACAGACTTCTCACTAGTATCAGAAATTTAACACATGATCTTCATAAAACCTTTCATCAGCATTTTTTCTTCTCTGTTCAGTAGTACCATCATTATTTCACTCTTCTGGGCTTGAAAACTTAATCATCCTGCTTTTTTTTTAATCCAAATCCATTTGTACTACAATGTCTTTCTTTTTTTTTTTTTAATCTTTTGGATGTCACTGTTTTTCTTACTGCCATCACCAGACCCCTGAACCATTGTAGTAACACCCCAAAATGCACTCTCTGCTCACTGGTCTCTCCCAACCCAGAGTGTACTGTGCCATGAAGAATAATGTGTATGTGCTTCTTAATCTGTAGATTTCATCAAATTATCAAGGGGCCCATTACTTTAAAAAAATTTGACAACCATGCATTGGGAGTCCCCAAGACTGCCCCCATATTTAGAGATTCATTAGAAGGACTAAGCATATAAGGCATATTGTGTATAAGGTTTATTAGTAAAAGGACACAGAATAGAATCAGCCAAGGGAAAAGACACTAGTAGAAATCTGGAAAAAGTCGTGCACAGGTTTCCTTATGTTCTCCTTCCTGTGGGAGGATACTCCAAGCATGTCATTTTCTCCAGCAACGAAAAATGTAGTAACGTATGTACAGTGTTTTTTTTGTTTTGTTTTGTTTTTTGTTTTTTTTGAGAGAAGGTCTTGCTCTATGGTCCAGGTCCTGGAGTGCAGTGGCTCAATCACAGCTCACTAGCAGCCTCAACTTCCCAGGCTCAAGTAGTCCTCCTACCTCTGCCTTCTAAGTGGCTAGAACTACAGATGCATGCCACCACACCCGGATAATTTTTTTTTTTTTTTTGGTAGGAACAGGAGTTTGCCATGTTGCCCAGGTTAGTATGTACAATGTTTATGCCCAGAGAAACCCATTAGAGACTCAGGGTCCAAGGTTTTTACTGGAGGCTGATCATGTAGGCACTCTGCCTCGCAGGTACCAAAATTTCAGACTCCCAGAAGGAAAACAGTTGTTTGGCATAAACTTTATTGTTTACATGGACTAGGCAGAATAAACTACCCTTATGAGTTGGGGAAAGGTGAGAACACTCTCAAAATCTAGTTCTGAGATGTTAATCAAGGGCCAACCTTGTATATAGGTTTTCCTAAAAATAGCATCCTCCAGTGCTTTGAGAGACCGAGGCAGGAAAATCGCTTGAGCCTAAGAGTTCGAGACCAGACCAGGCACGGTGACTCATGCCTTGTAATCACAGCACTTTGGGAGGCTGAGGTGGTTGGATCACAAGGTCAGGAGCTCAATACCAGCCTGGCCAGTATGGTGAAACCCTGTCTTTAGTAAAAATGCAAAAATTAGCCAGGTGTGGTGGTGGAAGCCTGTAGTCCCACCTACTCGGGAGGCTGAGGCAGGAGAATTGCTTGAACCCAGGAGGCAGAGGTTGCAGTGAGCCGAGATCATGCCACTGCACTCCAGCCTGGGCAACAAAGACTCCATCTCAAAAAAAAAAAAAAAAAAATTCGAGACCTGCCTGAGGAACAAAGTAAGACCTCATCTCTACAAAATAGCTGAGCATGGTGGTGTGCACCTGTAGTCCCAGCTACTTGGGAGGCTGAAGCAGGAGGATCACCTGAGCCCAGGAGTTCAACGTTGCAGTGAGCTGTGATTGTGCCACTGCACTCCAGGCTGGGCAACAAAGTGAAACCTGTCTCTAAAAAACAAAAAAGTTTAAAGAAACTAAACCTTGCATCCCTCTGCCTTATTCAAGCAGAATGTCTTACGTTCCAGTAAATATGAATGCTAAAAAACTCAAGTTACCTACATCATGATAAATCATTAAATTGTTTTTGGTTGGTTGTGGTGGCTCACAGCTGTAATCCCAACACTTTGGGAGGCCAAGGTGGGCAAATCACTTGAGCCCAGGAGTTCAAGACCAGCCTGGGCAACATAGTGAAACCCCATCTCTATAAACAATACAAAAATTAGCTGGGTATGGTAGCGTGTGTCTGTAGTCCCAGCTACTTGGCAAATCACTTGAGCCCAGGAGTTCAAGACCAGCCTGGGCAACATAGCAAAACCCCATCTCTATAAACAATACAAAAATTAGCTGGGTATAGTGGCATGTGTCTGTAGTCCCACCTACTTGGGAGGCTGAGGTGGGAGGATGACTTGAGCCCAGAAGGTAGAGGTTGCATTGAGCCAAGATTGCGCCACTGCACTCTAGCCTGGATGACAGAGCCAGACCTTATCTCAAAAACAGTAAAAAAATTGTTTTCAAGTAGATTCCCTTTTTAAAAATAATCTTGAATTCTTTTTTTTTTTTTTTTTTTTTTTTTTTTTTTTTGAGACGGAGTCTTGCTCTGTAGCCCAGGCTGGAGTGCAGTAGCTGGATCTCAGCTCACTGCAAGCTCCCCCTGCCGGGTTCACGCCATTCTCCTGCCTCAGCCGCCCGAGTAGCTGGGACTACAGGCGTCCGCCACCTCACCCGGCTAGGTTTTTTTTGTATTTTGTAGTAGAAACGGGGTTTCACCGTGTTAACCAGGATGGTCTCGATCTCCTGACCTCGTGATCCGCCCGTCTCGGCCTCCCAAAGTGCTGGGATTACAGGCTTGAGCCACCGCGCCCGGCCATAATCTTGAATTCTTTATATTTCAATACTACTAAATAATGTAATAAATACATATGTTAAATTAGAATTTCATTATGATCTCCTCACTAGATCTTCTTTCCGTGGCAGGATGCAGACTCATCTGAGCGTATCATTGCTCCCATGCGCTGGGGCTTGGTGCCTTCTTGGTTCAAAGAAAGTGATCCTTCCAAGCTGCAGTTCAATACTACCAACTGTCGTAGTGATACCATAATGGAGAAACGGTCATTTAAGGTAGGTGGCTGGTAGCTATTAGTGCCCTGTATACCTGAGAAATAAGGCTCCAAAGGGTGTTTCCATCCTAGCCTACAGAGGACAACCAAAAATAAATAACATAAAAAAGAATGTTCCCCGTTGTTAATGTGGAATGCTATTTTGTTACTACATAACAAACCACACCAGAGAGTAGTGTGAAACAAAATGATAAACATTATCTCTATATTCTCTGGGTTGACTGGGCTCATCTGGGCAGTTTTCACTTGGAAGTTCTCATGTTGCAATTAGATGGCAGCTGAGGCTGCTTGTCCAAGATGACTTCTTCACCCACATCTGACACTTCAGCTGGGATGACTAGAACAACTAGAAGGCTTTCCACATGCCTAACTCGAGGGTGTCAGGGTAGCCAGGCTTCTGTCATGGTGACTCATTTATCCCAGAGCTCATGATCTAACAGAGCAGGACAGAAGATACAAGGCTTTGTCTTATAGCATCACTTAATCTTGGCAGTCATACGGCATTACTTATGCTGTATTCTTTATTTTATTTTATTTTATTTTTTTTTTTTTTTGAGACGGAGTCTCGCGCTGTGTCACCCAGGCTGGAGTGCAGTGGCGCGATCTCGGCTCACTGCAAGCTCCGCCTCCCAGGTTCACGCCATTCTCCTGCCTCAGCCTCCGAGTAGCCCGCCACCACGCCCGGCTAGTTTTTTGTATTTTTAGTAGAGACGGGGTTTCACCATGTTAGCCAGGATGGTCTCGATCTCCTGACCTCGTGATCCACCCGCCTCGGCCTCCCAAAGTGCTGGGATTACAGGCTTGAGCCACCGCGCCCGGCCTACTGTATTCTTTTATTATTGTTATTATTATTATTATTATTTTTAATAGAAACAAAGTCTGGCTATGTTGCCTAGGCTGGTCTCAAACTCCTGGGCTCAAGTGATTCTCCTGTCTGGGCCTCCCAAAGTGCTGAGATTATAGGTGTGAGCTAGCTTCCTGGCCTACTTCTGTTGCATTCTATGGGTTACACAGAGCCAGCCCAAATTCAGTGTGGGAGGTGTCTATGAAACGTGAATACTGGGAAGCATGCTTCATTGGGAAGGCACCTTTGAAGACTAGCTATCACAAGTACCTATTTGTTAGAAAAGAGGTGATTGCTTTTATGTACATTATTTAATCTTTTCAACATCTGTGTGAGTTATGACTTTCTTTATACATAAGAGAGGTACAGAGAAATTAAATAACTGTTTTAAGGTCATACATTGGCAGACCTCAGATTTTATGTATTTATTTGTTTGTTTTTTTATTTATTTTGAGATGGAGTCTCATTCTTTCACCTAGGCTGGAGTGCAGTGGCACGATCTTGGCTCACTGCTACCTCTGCCTCCCAAGTTCAAGTCATTCTCGTGCTTCAGCCTCCCAAGTAGCTGGGACTACAGGTGTGCACCACCATGCCCAGCTAATTTTTATATTTTTAGTAGAAATGGGGTTTCACCTTGTTGGCCAGACTGGTCTCAAACTCCTGACCTCAAGTGATCCTCCCATCTCAGCCTCCCAAAGTGTTGGGATTACAGCCGTGAGCCACCGCACCTGGCCCAAACCTCAGATTTTAACTCAAGTTCGCCAAGTAATGGCAGTCTATGAAACATTATTGTATTACTAAGACCATATCTTGCTCACATTTTCCCTCAGGTGCCTCTGGGAAAGGGAAGACGCTGTGTCGTTTTAGCAGATGGATTCTATGAGTGGCAGCGATGTCAAGGAACAAACCAGAGGCAGCCATACTTCATCTATTTTCCTCAAATCAAGACAGAGAAGGTATCATTATCAGCATTCACAATATATATTTGGAAAGGCATAGGGAAACAATCAAAGGACATTTTTTTCTTCCCTCGTAGTTTTATTTATTTGTTTTAAAATAACAGCTTTAGCCCAGTGCGGTGACTCATGCCTGTGATCCCAGCACTTTGGGAGCCCAAGATGGGAAGATTGCTTGAGCCCAGGAGTTTGAGACCAGCCTGGTCAAGATGGCGAAACCCCGTTTCTACAAACAATACAAAACTAGCTGGGCATGGTGGCGTGCACCTGTAGTCCCAGCTACTTGGAAGGCTGAGGTGGGAGGATCGCTTGAACCCATGAGATAGAGGCTGCAATGAGCTATGGTCACACCACTGCACTGGGTGACAGAGAAAGAGTCTGTCAAAATAAAGTGAAATGAAATGAGCTCATTGAGAGATAATTTACCATAAAATTCACCTTTTTAAAATGTGCAATTCAGGAATGTTTTAGTATATTCAAAGTATGCAATTATTACCTCTATTTTTAGAATATTTTTGTCTCTAGAAGGAAACTCCATATCCATTAGCAATCACTCTTCATTCTCCACTATGCCCAGCCCCTGTCAAACACCAATCTACTTTCCATCTCTATGGATTTGCCTATTTTGGACATTACATAAAAATGGAATCATAGACTGTGTGGTCTTTTGTGACTGGCTTCTTTGATTTAGCATAATGTTTTCAAGATTCATCCATGTTTGGCATGGATCAGCACTTCATTCCTTTTTGTAAAGATATACCACATTTTGTTAATTCATTCATCAGTTGATAGACACTTGGATTATTTCTACTTTTTGGTTATTATGAATAATGCTGCTATGAACATTCATTTACAAGTTTTTGCATGGATACATGTTTTCATCTCTCTTGGATAGATGCCTAGGAGTGGAATTGCTAGTCATATCATAACTCTACGTTTCCCTCATAAAACTTTCACTGTGGCTGGGCGCAGTGGTTCAGGCCAGGCAGGTGGCTCATGCCTGTAATCCCAGCACTTTAGGAGGCCAAAGCAGGTGGATTGCTTGAGCTCAGGAGTTCAAGATCAATCTGGGCAACATGGCTAAAACCCATCTCTACCAAAAATACAAAAACTTAGCTGGGCATGGTCTCAGCTACTTGGGAGGCTGAGGTGGGAAGATGACTTGAGCCCAGGAGGTGGAGGTTGCAGTGAGCCAAGATCGTGCCACTGTACTCCAGCCTGAGTGACAGAGTGAGACGCCATCTCAAAAACAAAACAAAAACTCTTTCACTGTAAGATATAATTTGAGCTATTCATGTTAAAACATTATCAGGAGATTGCAAACAAATCAGACATGCCAACCTCATTAAACCTATTTTTAATTAGATTATTTAGTCTGACACTGCTAAAACACCTGAGTTCTTAGCAGTTTGCTTGTTAAAATTGGGAATTGTTTGTTCACCTGTCATCTCATTTTGAGGACTGGAAATAGTGTTACCGAGTAAAAGGGACTTGCTACCCAATGTGCTAGAAGCCGATACCATGACACTGAGTAGCTGGTCCCAGCTACTTGGCAGGCTGAGGTGGGATGATAGCTTGAGCCTGGGGTAGCAGGTGGAGGTTGCAGTGAGCCGAGATTGCACCACTGCACTCCAGCCTGGGTAACAGAGAAAAGTTTTTTTTTGGTTTTTTTTTGTTTGTTTGTTTTTTGAGACGGAGTCTCACTCTGTTGCCCAGGCTGGAGTGCAGTGGCTGGATCTCAGCTCACTGCAAGCTCCGCCTCCCGGGTTCACGCCATTCTCCTGCCTCAACCTCCCGAGTAGCTGGGACTACAGGCCCCCGCCACCTCGCCCAGCTAGTTTTTTTGTACTTTTTAGTAGAGACGGGGTTTCACCATGTTCGCCAGGATGGTCTCCATCTCCTGACCTTGTGATCCGCCCGTCTCGGCCTCCCAAAGTGCTGGGATTACAGGCTTGAGCCACCACGCCTGGCCAGAAAAGTTTTTCATTGCAAGTCGACTAACAAGAAGATAGGAGTCCAGCTCCTCTCTGTCTCCCTTGCTGGCTTTAAGGCAGTACTTTTATTAAAAAAAGGTTTAGGGAATGGATTCTAGGATTAGTAAGTGATTGGTGGAAGGAAAAGGGAGGCCTGAAAAGTCTTCAGGTATGTGCAGTTATCTCTTCCTGCCTCCATATAGGTCTCATGTGCAAATTCAGGGGGAGTTAGTATGAAACGTGGTGGAAATTCAGGCTGTGATATAAGCAAGCTTGTTTTGCATATACTCTAGTCAGTTATACAGGCGGAGGGAGTTTCACTGTTTCAGCAAGTTGTTTCTTTTCTCATGTGCTATCCTATAAGCCCAAGAATTTAGTCATTGGTTTTTTTTTGTTGTTGTTGTTTGTTTGTTTGTTTTTAACTCCTGGGGCACAGTTTCAGTAGTCAAGAGAGTTTGCTTCACCCTCAGAAAATCCCCTATCAGTGATGGGTGCACCAAAATCTCAGAAGTCACCACTAAAGAATTTATTCATATAACCAGATACCACCTGTTCCCCAGAAACCTATTGAAATGTAAATTAAAAAAGAAAATCCCGGCCGGGCGCGGTGGCTCAAGCCTGTAATCCCAGCACTTTGGGAGGCCGAGACGGGCGGATCACGAGGTCAGGAGATCGAGA